TGCAGTGCTTTCACATGTGATGATGTCCTGAAATCCTACATAATTTATTCAGTGTCACCGTGCCGTGAGACACACTCATAGTCCCACTTCTGAGGGGATGCAACTATGGCACAAAGTAAAATTGCTGCCTGAAGTCTTTCAGGAGTTTGACAGAAGACTGAATAGAAGCTGAGTCTAAGATATTAATCCTCTTAATCCTATACTTTAGTAAAAAAAAAAAAATTCCCTGCCACCCACAAAGAAATTGTATTCTACAGGATTTTTAGTGACGGGTGTCTAACTAAGCATAATCAAAAGGACTCAGGAGAAAGAGAAAAGAAACATACATATAACTTCCCCCTGTTGAATTTCATATGCATTTTGGGTTAGTTTATGCCACTTTCTTGACAGCACTCCTCAGAGCTTCCCTATTACTGAAGGAGTGATAAGCAGGCACAAGAGAGCCTTTGTTCTGTTCAACAGAAAGGTTTTGAATGCCATTACATTCAAACAACTGCTCCCTATCTGCTGTCCTTCCATCTTTTCAAGAGTGATTGTATTGTTCGTTTTGTTTTTTCTCAAGATTCTTATTCTGAATACTGGAAACAAAACAGAAACATCCCTGCAAACAAAATTCTAGGCTTAGAGTGTTAATTCTGTGGAATGTCTTGCTCTACAAAGAGTAGAACCAAGAAGAGTAATCAGCTGTCTGCACTAGGAGGGGGAAGAAAAGGCATTTAAAAGGCCTGTGAGGAACAGCTCACCCAGCTCTAAGGGAACTTGAAGAAAGCAGGGAAAGGGCTCTGTGCCTCACAGGAAATGACAAGGGAGTACACCTGAAGCTCAAAGTAAGGGTGGCACAGGGAGTTGTGACAGGCCTCAAGCTCTATGTGTCTTTATGGACTGTGGTGGCAGGCTTAAGGTATAACAACAATAGAATAAAAGCTTCATGACAGATCTAATTGCCTAATTTACTAGTTCTACCACCAGATGAAACTCTTGCTCCAAATACTCTAAATATTGGATAATTTTTTCTTGCTTTTTTTTGCTACATTTCACTGACTTCTCAACTCTCTTCACAGTATCTTCTAGATACACTTCAAGTTTTGTACCTGTTTTATTTTAAGAGAAGGACAAAAAAGTAACCAAATATTGCCTGTGAGGTCAATTTTTAAGTGACATTTATGCTTAGCTACACTTACAGAACATGCTCTATTTAATTTATTTTTCAGTCTGCCTTTTTAAACTGGTGATTAAAGATATAAATGTATAAAAAAAGATTGCTCCCTCATTACTCATCTTGTCCTTCTGCCTACTTCTGGTAATAATTCAGATTTTAATAGTCATGTAGGGACTCTCATAAAAAAAAGACAAAGAACCTTTAGTTGGGAAAGATCAATGGAAAAACAGGACCAGAAGTAAAGACTTCTTTGAAATAGAATGGTAGCTTTAAAAAGGTAATTTTCAGACTTTTGTGCCATTTAAACAAAACCTTAGCAACCATATTTTCTTTGAAAAGCTAATGCTAAATCTCCCCTTGCAAAATTCCAGTGTTAATCTGATCTCAAATCAATAGGAGATGAAAATAGGTAACATGGTCATCTAGTAAGGGGATTATGTTGGCTGAATATGTGTAAAATGAAGCTGCCAGTAACAGCTTTCCCTAGTTGAGATATGTACATGGCTATACCTATCCACACCAAGCTATGAAACCACATGCTTAGCAACTTGCTACAAGAACAATCCCCAGATATTTATATTCATTGTGAGCCAGACATCTGAGGTGCTTTTTATCAAGCAGAACTGCAGATATTTGCTTTGACTGGTAGCAATTTCTTTCCAAAGGATGGATAGCATCTGAAAATATACACTGACAAACCCCTTTCAAGTCAGCTACTACAGTCTTTTCATGCTTGTCTCATGCAGAGCAAGTGGAAACTATTTTAAATGCACACTTTCAAAAAATCTGCAGTAAAAAGATGATCAAGATCTTTCATGTTGCCTCCAAACAATGCATTACAAGGGCATGTTCTGAGTGAACCTGCTACCCCCAATTCCTGAAAGGATTTAAGATACAGCTACCATTCTGTACTCTCACAAATTTGTAAGATACCTGAATTCATGGGGTTACTAAGGTATGCACACATCATCTTAACTGTACTCCTTATCCTAGGGTAGATGCCATGTTTCTCAGAAGAATCCTAAGGAGAAGAATGGTTCCCTTCCAGGCTGTGCCAGCCTTACCTACTGAACTAGAGACTGACTGATATATCATAGGGAAACACCAGATTCCAACACTATGCCTGGTTTACATTCAGAGACACAGAAAAAAAAAAAGGAGGTAGCTTTCTGTTGGATCTTGTGCTGATCTTTTGTATGGATACTATCCACTGGGTAAGTAAAATTTTGGAACATGTTGAAGGTACCAGGATAGATTTTGTTTCTATACTGATATGTAGGGAAGTAAAATCAAAAGGAATCTCACCTAGTATAAATTACTCCTCCAGAAAAACCTAGGATCCTACAGGCATGTTTTCTGAACCAACAGGTGTCTGTTTCTAAACAACATGGCTGAGTTCCACCTTTGAGAACTCTGACCCAAATCCACAAGTGTAGTTAGGCACCTTCATCCCACAGATACTTCCAAATCTCATTGAAGCAGCAATTAGAACTTACAGAAATGAGACCTCTAAATGCCTCTCTGTCAGATAAAGTTAATGATCCACAAAACAGCCTCCTTTTAGGCTTCATAAAATGTTTAGTGAGAAGCTAAAATCCCATTATGGCCATGGAACCCAAAATGCTCAGTAAGAACAGGTGACACAGGAAGAATGCACTGACCATACAGCAGAAAATGGGGCCAAATGTGTCTAAGGATGGCAGCACTTCCCCCCATAATTGCAGCTCTGACAGCACAGATGAACAATCCTAACAACAAGAAGGATAACACTGCTCCAAGGAATAACTGGTTTGAACTGATCTGGCAGACCTGAACAAGAATAAACCTGGACAGGGCAATGGGGATGGTTCTGCACTCTCTGTAACTCCCTGTGTGGGTAAGACTTTTCTGTGTTGGATGCCCCATTTCTAAGTTTTGCAGGAGACCCAGTAGCATTCTCTTGCTCTGTCCTAAATACCACACCCCACAGCTTTGGAAACATTCCTCATCAGTGCTAGAATAGATACATAAAATAGAGAATGAAAGAGGAAAACAACACTTCAGTCCTGTTTTCGTTTTAAGATAAGTCTGCCAAAATGAGGTGAAGCTATGAGGAAGATGGGAAACAGATTTTCTAAAACAATAACAACTTCTGTCCTCTGTTAACTATTTCCATAGAGAGAAATTTCAATAGCTGAATTTTCTTGACTAAGAAAAGGAGAAAAGTTAGTTCCCAAACTATTCCAAAAGCAGAATCCAAAATGATCATTATAATCCATCCAGAAAATGTAAAAATGGCCTGTATCTCTTCAAGATCTCTAAATCTGCTTCCCATTTTAAAAGGCTCAGTTGCCAGACAACAGTGAACTAACACATTTTGGAATTCCTGATGTATTTCAAAAATGTATGGCTAGAAACAAGCCAACTTCTCTGTGAGTAGGTAAATCAGAAGCCACTAGGAACACCCCTGGCCCTTGAAGTCCTAATAAGAGCAGCAACAGCTTGTTTCCAATGCAAAGTAATCTGTTAGAATTAACAGCTCAGCAGTTTAAACCAAGTAAAACCACATAATTGATCTCAAAACATACAAGAACACTGTCTGCACATCTTTTTTTCATACCTGACATTTAAGATTGCTATAACCTAAACCACTACTCTGGTGCACTTGTTCTAGAGCAATGCTCTAGAGAAAAATACAGTCTCCAAAGTGAGGAGGATTTTGGTAAGGTGTCTAACTTTCTCAGTTAGATATTTATTCCAACTGATTCCCTTCTGCCTAGTCAAATAGCAGCTTTTCCATGGAAGTGAAAAAATCAATTTGCCTCTGAAGAGAAGCATGTTCAGTGTATTCTTAACAATATTAAAGTAATTAACACTTTTCATCTTAACAAAATTTGTAGTATAACACTGATTTCCATGAACAAAACTGCTTTTTCAAATCTTCTTTTCCTATTATGGGTGTTAGCAGCATTTTTCCTCTTAAAGCACTTGGTCATGCTTGAGATTTAAAATGTTTTTATAAATTTTGAAATCCGTACTAATTGAAGGATACAGGCACCATTACCAGTAATAGCCTTGCAGCTTGGCAAAAGCACATTCAGAATTTCTTCTGTGTTGCATTGTAACAGAACATTTGGAGATGGTGTAAACTATATCAGGTCAGAATATTTAGAGAAAAAGGTAACATAAAAAACCCATTAACCACTCTTCTGTAGGAGAAATGTTCCCTAAACAGTACTAAATTAAACTTCCACTTTCAAGATAGGAGTCACATGTTATTCAGGGCTTTCTTTGGATTCTATGTTGTATCTGCTCACTTCTGCTGACCACAATAAAGTTTTGACTGTGTTCAGCCTTGAAGATAAGTTTATCTTTCCAAGTGTTTCCCACATGAATAGCCTAACTAAATGAAGAATCTAAAGCTTTTTGCTCAAATATAATGACCTTAAATGAAGTAAAAAAAACCCCACAAAACCCCCAAAACAACAGACAACCACAGCTTGAGTAGATTCAAATCAAATACACTCCTGAGTAACTAATTCCAATCAATAAACTAGGCAAAAAATGACACCTGATGACCTTAAGAAGATTTTTGCTTGTTTTGAAGTGACTTTTCCATGTCTCTTACGTGACATTACAGCTCTTCTTGTGCCAGCTGTTCCCAGGGCAGTAGTTACCAACACAGACTGTGCTGGGAACACTCAGTGCCCAGTGGTAGGAAGTGAGCCCTTGTTCCCTCAGTAACCCTTACAATCAGAGCTGGTAGAACTGAGAGCAAACACCCGGCACTCACAGGACACACCAGCACACAGACACACAGGCACATGCTTTCACATTTTGGTTCAGTGCACTGGAAACCCACCGTATCCCCCTGCCTGGATGGGTGTTTTTGGAGAAGCACAAGCATATAGACTAAAATCCTCTGTCTGGAAGCCAGCCCGGTTCAACGAGGGCTCAGATGCACTGCGGTGAATTTTTGGCAATGACCGGGCCAGAAGCTCAATGGAGGCAAGAATCTAAAACATAGAAAATACATGATCAAACTTGCTGTTCCAAAGCTGTGTCTCTCTCTGAAAACCAAAGGCACAATATCAACTAACTACAGAAAAATATTGAAACACATCTTAAAAAAAGGATTTTTAAACTATAGCTTACTGCACTGCACTCTTAATGTTTATATCCTAAGGAAGCTGAAAATGACAGTTGAGGAATTTCCCCCTTTTTAAAGGCACAGATTCCCTCTAAGCACAGTGAAAACACTCGCCTTTTATTGGACTCCTTGTCTATGCCCTAGTACCTGTACCTGCCATTGCTGCAAACAAACCCAGCTCTGCCAGCGTTTTGCTTAATAACATTTACCAAAAAGTCAGCAGGGGGAGCTCCTTATCTTTTGAAAACGATTTGGTTACATTCAAAACAGGGGAAAAAAAAATCAGATTTTTGCCCTCCTCCCCCTCAAGCTTTTTGAGCCCAAACCTTCCTCAGCAGGCACGATAAAAATCAAGCTCTGTGGCAAAACTATCTGTTTACCTTCATGAAGCTTGGGGGAGAGCAAGGAGGGCAGTGTAAACATTTCTGAGTACATTTACCAACTACTAATTTGTGTGTCTAACTGTAACTCTTACTTTCACTATCTCCCTGCTGAAACTTTCTCCAACATGTAAATACTTTTCCAAGTACAAAGGTCATTTTAGTACCTGCGTTTTGAAATGAAAATGAGCATTTCTAATTAAACAGAACTAACTAAGTACTGAACCACATCTCTTATGAAACCCTGCCATAACACTAATAAAAAAAATTTGGAACTGGCCAGTGAGTTCACAACTTTAAATTGTAAAGTCTGTTGAGAGCTAAGAGAAGCATTTCTCACCTGTGGAAAAAGGGGTCTCTCATCTCTTTTCTTTTTTAAGCATTCTGCCATTAGTCTCTTCATAGCTTTGGGACAGTTGCTCCGTACTTTGCTGAGGTCTGGAGATAGGTATCCTCGTCCCACCATGAAAATTATCTTTATTTAAGGGGAAAAAAGATGAAAGAGGAAGAAGTTGAATTGATAAAATAAACAATCACAAAAGGTGAACATTTTGCTAGACTATTTTGGTTGCAGCAACAAGGTTTCTCCTCCCAGGAAACATTAGCTGATATTGAAATTGACAAATTTCTTAGAGTAATGCTTGCTAACCTATTCAGTACAGAGAAAAAAATTAGATATTTCCTCCTCCTCAGAGAGATTTCTGTGGAACTTGAACTCTAGTAAATGGTTACCATTTATAGCAATAACCATCTAAGGAATGGTTCTTCGGTGTCAAAAACTGACAAAAACAAGAACAAGCAACTCTGGCAGGAACAGAATGTCTAAAAATAAAAATTCTGTAAAAAGAAATATTCTGTTTTATATTACAAATCAACAACAACTTCACATTGAAAGGTATTTTAAGAAACACATGGACTTTGGATATTATAACCCTTTACTTTCTGAGAATTGATTCCATCACATACTTCTCCAACACATAAGCTTGTTCTTGACATTTGACCACCTCCCCCACTCTCACAAAAAAAAAAAGAAAAAAAACACCTCAAAAGAAAAAGAGACACTCCCTCTTCTCTGTAGAAGAGGAGACAGACAGGCTTGGTATTTTTACAGTAATTCTTTCAACATGGGAGGCTTATATTTCCCCTAAGGATAAAACTTCAGCATAAAACCAAGTAAACTGATAGGAAGCAGGAAAACGAAACATAAATATGGTTAATTATCTCTTGTATATATAAAAAAACTATCAAACATCATCACGTCAAGCCAAGGTCATTTGCAACATGGTTTGAGTACTGCAGTAGCACTAACACTAAAAAGCACTTCCAAACCAGCTAATCAAAGATCCATTCATGCTGCAGCAGTAATCACTGCCTTTTCTGAGAACTCGGACAGCCCAGCAGGTTTATCACACCTTCTCTCTAATGAAGTGTAACTATTTCATATCTTGACATTGGGGGAAAAAAAAACCACAACAGAAAACCCTCCCATCTCAAGCATGCTATACATGTTATTTACACTAACACAATCCTAGTCCTTTTTTAACTCTGCTTCAGTCACATCTGTGTTGGCATCACGGAAAAACAGAAAACTCCCATATGGTTCCTTTAGAAAATCCCATGTGCTGAGCAGGATTTTGTAGTAGAGACTTATGTACTGCAACCCTTACCTCTGCTGCAATCAGATTTCTTATTATCTAGCAGTTGGTATTTTCTAAATAATGGCACAAGTTGAAATTATTCAAAACTCATTACTCTTTATGTTTCAAATAGTTTCTTTACAAATAATATAGGGGTTAATATTTTAGACCAGAGAAAAGAGAGTATCACTACAAGAACAGTCTAGAAAAATCTGTTGAAGTGACAGAAACACTCTGAGGTATAACAAGAATGACACTTTGTTCACTAAGAATCTTGGTTGTGTCATAGTAGCTGATGTAAATGCATCAGAGAGTGAGGAATATTTGCAACTTTTCATATAATAGACAAGGAGTGACAAAACTCAAGACATCAGATCACATATGTTGGCTTCACTTGCATTTTAAAATTTGTTTCAGCACTTCATTGTAAGCACCCACATCACTGGGTTCATCTTTGAGACCTTAAAAGGTAAAAGCTAAACAAGACCAAATACGGTTTTTAGAAGGCTGGATCCATCTGGCCAGGAATCCAGACATTAAAGGCAAAACCAAAATGATAAAAAAGAAAAAGAAAACTAAAAAGGAGTCACTCCAAATTTGATGAATTGGGATGAAGTGTTCTGGCAGATAGGGAAGCAGCCTTATAAAATGGCATTCACAGATGAACGTTGCTATGGTTTCAATTCTCAAGTACTGACAGTGAAAAAACAAGGGATGAGGACACAGAAGCAACAAATACATCACTGCTCAGACACAGAATAGTTTACATCAAAGATCTTGATGCACAGATGCTATTTTCAGGTTAGACAGAAGTAAGGAATCAGGTATGCCTTCCCAAACATGCCTGTCCCGTGGAGTTGCATTACAGCATGTGGGATCATTAAGATTTATGGAATATTTGTTCACATTAAAGTAATCTTATAGGATCCCCAGACTGTGGGAAGTTATATTGTCTGACAAGCTGGATTTGAGAAATGCAATTTCTTGCAATTCAGTTAGATGGTGCATGCTCTCTCAAAGTTGAGATGAATATAAAACACTCGGTGAGATGACTGTTTTGTCAGTCCTGTAGCTGCACTATTTATTATTCACTGCAGTGGAGGGGTGGGGGGAATGAGAAGAATAACTGAACACACATATGGGGGATCATTGTGCCTTTGCAGAACTATTCTAAACTAGATTACTATTAAGTAATCTGCTCTCTCCCTAATAAGTATCCTGGCAACCAGTCAGGAAACTGAAAATCTATATTTAAAATAAAAAGAACACAAAAAATGCCTCAATAGAATTAAGTAAATTGTTGCTATGTTGCTGAGGCAGATCTAGAAAATGCAGAAATGTCATCTCACAGCATGAGAATCAAGAACATGAAACACACAGAACATCAGAAAGTTGACCACCTAAGTCTGAATCAATCACTGCTTCAGACCACCCTTGACTGAAGTCAGTGCCTCCCCTTACCTGGTCCCTGTTGTTGATGTTGGAGTATGGCAACTGTCCAGTCATCAATTCATAGAGAACAATCCCAAATGCATACACATCCGACTGAAAACTATATGGGTTTTTATCTTGCATCCTAATAACTTCTGGTGCCTGTATCAGAAAAGGCAAGAATTAGTTTTTATTTCTCTCCATTGTGCTGCACCTCACCTACCAGGAACAAAACATGGACTTATCCAGGGTACAGGTGCAAGGCCCACTCTTGCCTTCAGCTGTTACTGGGTCCTAATACAGAGTGGATGCTGACACGAATCCAAAATTCATTGCTTCATTTCAGCTTGGTGATCCCTTTTATTCTTCTGTGACAGAGCAAAATTACCTTGGCCAAGCTGAGAACGTATTTGGAACTAGAATTCTAATGACACTGACATTAATGCCAGCTAACAGAGCTTCAAGCTTTTCCAGGGAGAAAAAGAGGAAGTGGAGCTGCACAAGAGATTGCAATATGAAGCAACTCCTCTTGAATCCTTAAAACTTAAGAGCATCTTATTTTTTCCTGAGCTAGTTCCTCTACTCTTTTGCAGGATGTTTTGCAAGGCTTTTCTCACCTTCTCCTCAACCCTAGATTAATGATACATAATTAATTAATTATATTAATTAACTACTGATTCATTTTCCTTAGCCACTGTTTTCATTTCAGTATAAACCCCAGAATAAAAGATGGAGACACTAAAGTTTTTCTGCTGACTACTGGAAAACACATGCTTAAAGAAGAATTGAAAAACATTCATTTACTACTTCATATTACTGCTTGTCTTTTCCAGCTTAAGCCAACTTTTATATGTCAATGTGCCAGAGGGATAGGAGCAGGAAGTTTGGCCAAAGGTAAATAAATTTGTTGAACAAGCTCACTACTTCCCCCTTGCTTACCATCCATAGAATGGAACCAGACAACTGTTCAAACTGTTGGGATCCACTCCATCGTGATTTCACTGTAGCTAGACCAAAATCACCTATTTTTACTGTGAGGTCTTCATGAAGAAAAATATCTAAGGGGGGAACGTTAAGGGAAAACAGACAAGCAGTGCTGGTCCTGTCCTAAAAGAACAATTAACAGCTACAAATTTGCAACATGAACATGACAGTTTTAACCATTCTGCATCACTGAAGAATTCACATCACACAGGTTTTAAGCAGCCAGCATGGTGAATTACGGTAGGTAAGGGTTATGTAAGTAATGACTGGGTCACTGCTGAGCAGACCATGGCCAGGTGGCTTTCATGAAGTGCCAAGTATGAGAAAAGCTGAAAATGTTCCATGAGCCAACTCACATAATCTTTTGTTACATGAAGAAACCAAAGGATGCAAAAAAATCTTTGTGATACCAACTAAAACTCCCTATGTTATTGCAATTGAATCAAAAGACACAGTAAGCATCTCCTATTTTGTTATTAGTGATATTACCCCTTCTCAGTGCAAATTCTATTTGGCAAATATTCACACATGAACAGCTTTTCGTATCAGTAAGTTAATTTCTGGCAGAAAAAATACAAAAAAACCAAAAACCAGGAATGCTTTCACCTTCCAAAATTACATCTCTGGGAAAGGATACTATTACTCTTGAGGTCTCTGTGGATGATTGACTTGGCATGCAAATAACTGAAAAGGAATATCACAGATTAGGTGGGTTAGATAATACTTCACCAATCAACAACTCAAAATTCACTGTACTACTGAAACAAATTATGTTGACATTCAAACTGCACATTTATGCAGGCAGTAAAACTTCAGTTACCCATGACAGTTTCTGCAACATTCACAGGAAAAAATAAAATAAAGCTTAGACTTCCAGCTCAAATCTGATGCTACTGCTAAATAACAATTATGCTCCAAATTCTGCTTTTTCAATTCTAACTCAATATTCACAGTAAAAAGAACTTCACTAATTTTTTTCATGCAATTTTGTGCTGAAATTTCTGCCTCCCAGCCTTAATGGGGACTGTCAAGACTTTGTGAGTTAGTCACAGCTTTAGATAAGGTGTTTCTAAATTGCAGGAGCTAAATGTGCTTTCCAGTCTCAATGTGTACTCGGGTACACTGACTGCTTTTTAGTAGAGGAGTGGAAAAAAAGATCCCCTGATTGCAGCCTGGATAAACAGATGGCAGGGAACACAGAGGAAAGCACTTGCCCCACAGCAGATACAGCCTGAATTAGTCTCCCATGGCTCTTTGTTTAGTCAATGAGATTGGCACAAAACTGCTGGAAAAGCCCCAATTTGTGTCTGTGCTTTGAATCGTGTTCACAAAACAGTTTCTGCATCTCCCCTACCTACAGATGGAGCCTGGGGAGATGCACAGGCTAACAGAAGGCTAAGGCTGGTTGCTGCAAACACCTCCACGCCTCTTGACTGAAAATGTAATGGAATACTGAGTAGAAAAATGGCACAATGAACTGCAATCATCATAGTGGTTTTACAGCTGAAGTGCAATTTCTCTGGTCTTACAGCAATGTTCTGATTTTGACATACAGTACTTGGCTAGTTTGGTAAATTCTAACTCGATGGCCCTCTATGGGAGTAAGGATTATTTACAATCCTTAGAACAAAATAGGGATGTTCTCTTCAGATGTTGAAACCTGTTATTCGGAGAGCTCTGATACTTTCACCAAATGCTTTGATGATTGAGACAGGACCCTGGGCTCAGCCAAGTGAGCAGAGAGCTGGCCTTATTTGCCTGTGTCAGCCAGAGTGTGAAGGGGATAAGTAAACATTGCCACAGTGCTCATTTGCAGACAAGTAATCCAATACTTACTCCATGCCTTGTGCAGTCTGTCGTGCAATATCAATTAGCTTGATCATTTCAAATTTGGTCTCAATGATGTGTAGATGGTGATACAAACTGGATCCTTCACACCATTGTGTAACAATAGCCAACTGGGGTTTTGTTGAATAACCCATGAAAAGCAGGATATTCACATGTCGTGTTTTCCTGTTTACAAAAACATAAGAATCAGGAGGAAATCAGGTCAAGAAATCAGGAAAACCCAGGCAGATCTATCACAGTCTACAAATATATTTCCAAATGGAAGGTGTTGGGTCAATCTCAACTTTTACTATGATAACCTCTTGTTAGATTAATTTAATGAATTATTCCTGAAGTTAGCCCTTCTCATCATACTAACATGGAATAACTACTTTGGGGTAACTGAAAAATGTCAGAGCTCTTTTATGTTTTCTTTTATTAAAAATTAACATGAGATGCCAGCATGTGAGCCTTTGTCCTTGCAGCAATGTGGGCTAGGACAGTGCTATGCTATGAGACTGTGCCTTGTTCAGGTTCAAGAATTTGTCAAGTGATGCTGAGAGTAACTGCTGAAGAAACAAAAAATAAGCAGTTTCTTGCAAATCCTACCACAAAGTTAAGTCATGATGAATCCTAATGGAGAAAGCACAACAATAGGTAGCTCTGCCTTGTCTGGTCAAAGGATAGAACAAGTGACTATGTATCAAACAGGCTGGGCTCCATCAAAGGGACTACCAGCAGAAAGCTGGACTAAGATGTTTGATTTCATTCAGTTCTGTCAAAATTCTGTCAAGAAAATTAAGAGATACCTAAAGTAGCACAGCCCAGAAAGCCTCTACTTCCACAACTATGAGCTTAGTGTTTTTGGAACTAACATTTTCCTAGGGTAAAAGGCTGACTTGTCCTTTTCTCCTTGTAGCTTATTTGGGATGTTTCCACAGCATAGGTGCCCAGCTCAACCCATCAGGTTTCCAGGGACAAAAACCTTCTTGCTGTTTTGTTTCTTAAAACACAATTATGCTTAACACTGCTCTGGATTGTACTTTGATGTAATGTTTCTTCAAAATGTATATTCCATCATGTCATGCTGATGGATCTTTAAGAGCTGAACCCAAAACAAATACCTCCTCTGAGATAGCAGAAGCAGTAGACTTGAGAAAAGGAAATAATGAAATGACTTTACAAGAATTACATTAAAAAAAAAATCTCAGAGAAATTAATGTTACTGAACATGGGCAGGACTATAGCTGAAAAACCAACCATTAGTCATGTTCTCCTTCAATTGCAAAATGTGAATGAGAGGAAAGAAAGGCCTATAGCTCACACTTAACCTTGACTGTGCCCTGGGGATAGTACATTGGGAATAACTACTTCTGAGTGTTTGAACATATATGTACTGCCAACATAGGTATGCAGACAAGCACATATAATGGGTACAAAGAAATATTTTTAAATGGTTATTTAAAACTGCCTGCAGTATCATCATGTAGGAGTGAGACCAATGTGTTCCAATGGAGATCTAAAAATTCAGTGATTAATGAAGCACAAATCTACACACATTATTTTGTGCCATTAAAAATATTCTTACCTGAGCACTCCTACTTCATTTTTGAAAGCCTGTAACTGTTGAGGTGTGGGTGCCGTAACATTCAACATTTTCACAGCCACATCACCTTTAAAACAGAAATTTTTAGTAAGTACCATTGATACATATTCCTCTCTTGAGAGAATGCTGTACAGAGCATCAGAAATTTTGGGATACACTGTTTTTTTAGCTTACATGAAATAAATCACTACAATTTTAAAGTAAGTCAATATTCAGTAAAATGTAGAAATATTATTCTTACTTTACTCTGAGAAATCATAGCCAGGTCAAAGGTATTAAAAATACACATCTGAAATCCTCCTTCATCAAGAGGAATACTTCTGCCTTTGTAATGTTTCATCTTTACCCTAATAATTTCTCAGTTCAGAAGAACATGCAAGAGTTGAGTTTCCAAGCAATATGAAGTTCTTACACTAGTTATTTAGCACACTACTTATTAATTTAAAACTCATATTTACTGCCCTTCACTGCGGTCTCCCCATTATGCCCACATCTCTCTTGCTCAGAGGAGCCCAGAACTGGGCCCAGCATTCCAGGTGTGGCATCACCAGTGCTGAGGAGAAGGATTGCCTCCCTCAACCTTCTGGCAATACCTAGTGCAGCCCAGGAGCCCATCTGTGGGGGTCCCAGTTGCTGGGGTACCCATTGTTGGTTTCTCTGGGTCTGGATTGAAGGCACTTGAGATGGTATTTCATGTTCAGACTCAGGTGTTGAATAGTTCTTATCAGTAAAACAGTCTCACTAATGTGAGTTTAGCAGCTTTTCATTAGATGGCTCAAAATGGCCAACAATCTCTTGCTACAAGGTCTTTTAGGAACTAAACTCTCCAATTAAGAACTGACACCTAGATTATTTTCCCTTTTAACCCAATAACTGACCCCAAAGAGCTGCAATGCAGACTTTTCTGCCCAATTACAAAATGCCACCCAAACCCATGAAGAAGGTAAAAGAAGCATGAAGAAGAAACCCAGGACAACACCCTGGGCCCTCCATCTTGCTTCCATGCACAACATGCCAAAAATCCCAAAACCTGAATTTCTCACCACGTGATATATCAACACTACTCTCTATAATCTATTTCACACTTTTGTGGATTCCAGTCTATCTTGAAGTCTAGGAAACTTTCTCCATGAATGAGGGTCAAAGTCAGTGCTCCCCTGGGGGTCAGGACAGAGCAGACAGAGAAATATTCCCTGTGCCCTGGGTTTCCACACCCATCTTCCCTCTTTGGGGCATGGGCACACTGCTGGCTCTGCCTGGTGCCCACCAGAAGCCCAGGTGTGTTTCTGGGAAGCTGCTGTCCCGCTGGGTGTGCCCTGGCAGGCACTGTGACCTCCTCAAGAACAACTGTTTGCCACCATGGCCACATACCATGCCACTTTCCCTTGTAGACTGTTCCAAATGATCCAGATCCTATCCTTTGTCCAACTGTGATCTGTCCATCTGGTATCTCCCAATCATCACTTGAATCCCGTCGACCAAGAGTTTTCTTTATATATGTGCAAAAACAATAAAAAGGAAGAAAACAAGTGCATTAATGTCTCTAACTTTAACAGTTCCTTTGTTAAAAAATTCTCACCATCAATAATGTCCTAAAAAAAATGTTCTTTTTCAGACGTTGTCTTTTGACTTCTCAACTTAGCCCTATACAAAACCTCAGGACACAGGTATGCCAAATTATTACCTGGCATGAAATATTTGCAACAGCTTTCTGGCACTGTTAAAACCAGAAAATACTAAGAAATGCTTACCAAAAAGAAAGTAGTATTTGATTTTAAATTGTTAATCGTAACAATAAACTGTAACTTTTAAAAAAAGTGGATAATTTTATGTTTGCATGTATTGTTACATACATTTGTTACTTTCAAAGTTTTTGAATCATGGTGGGAAAAGTTGTTACATGAAGGGAAAGTGACATTACAATATGAGTCACACCAGTAAAAGTGAGTTTAGTCAATTATTTAAATTATTTATATATCAGTCCCACAATTATTTATGGATTTAAAGTGGGTTATCCCACTCTATTATTTATCGGTTTCAAGTCCTTGATCAGTGCCATATTCATCTTCAAAATAATTTATAGAACTTGGATGAAATAAAAATGAGAGGAATATGGTTGTGCAATAATTCTACAGAAGAAAACAGCTGATCTTTCCCTTACCATTCGATTTCTGTCTTCTGAGGATGAGGATGATTTCCTTTCCCGTTGGGGTCCTGGTGATTTCTGTAACGCTTTCACATTGGTTAGTGACCCGGGCAAAGAAGCAGGAGGTGTTGCAGATAAGCCTGCAGCTGAGCCTAAATTTCAGAAATAGGATAGTTTTATCTGTAAGAATCCCCCGTATAAGAATGTATTGCTATTAGGTGCAAGAATTGTGTTTAAGATGCAGTATCTCTAAACATCAATGTGAATGTTAAGAGAGAACAAACAAACAGGAATATTGTCCTAATGTTACATTAGTGCTCATGTCTCAGATTTCAGGAAGAGACAAATCTATACCAAACATCCCTGTAAAGATTACTATATATTTGATATAACATCCCTGTGAAGATTTATATATATTTGATATGGTCTCCATTCTCTTGTTCATGAATTAACAAAAAGACAATGTCTTTTTAATTAAGAAAAAAATACTTTAAGATGTATTTTTAAAAATTCATCAGTTTCTTTGAGAAGAATGGTAGCATTTCAGTTAGCAGCATCTACCTCTGATATTTCTTGTAGCTAAGCTTTTAGGAACCCAACCCAACAAATAGCTGGACTACTGTACTTTGGAATCAAAATAGACTAAATGCAAATAATTGAAATATTTTCTGGTTGAGTCTCCAAGTGCCACCTGAAAATCATTTGGCTGTTTTAAAGCTATCTGTTAGCAGAGAACTATTACTTAAAAATAAATATTAGACTTTAGAAAGGACTAAAAAAGCACAAGTACTTTAGTTAGCTATTTGAAGCATATTCTAGGAAGCACAAAAAGAACAGTATGTCTGTGGCCTGTAGGTTATCTAAACAAATCTATGCAGGAAAATGTTACTAAGAGAGCTGTTTCAGAGCCCCAGTGGCCCTTTTCAAATAGAGCACTTCACCTAGACACTGCTTTTTAAAATACATCACAATTATTCCTAACAAGGTTATGCTGACCCTTCCAATGCAAAGGACATAAAATAGGGTCAACTGTTAATTAAATTCATGCTGCTTTGCTAAACAATGTATGTCATTGAACAAGACCTCTAACATTCCACTGCCTTCTCTCACATCAGTGCTCTGGAAAGTGGTGGAAGACTCCTCATATTCACTTAGAAGCTCCCCTCCTAAGCAAAAAGTGTCTCCTAATGGCAACTAGGACTTTGTGACTTTTTAAACTGCTGCTTAAGCTCAGTCACTCAGTGCATGCTAATTTATCAGACTATATGTATCCATCACTGGACTCACTAAGATAAAATCTATGCACTTGTAATACATACCTACAGATACAAAACGGGACACAGCATCTGTAAACTGTCCCACATACTAAAGCAACAATAATGATGTATATTCCGCATCGTAACTACATTTATAAGCAGGTGGAAGCCAGTGACCTGAAGGATGGACTTGTGTTCATGTTACGGTCACTATGCTGTCATTTATTTATTATATGATTCATCTGAAATCAAACATACATGGAATCAAATGTATGGTGTTCCCAGAACATGAGCAATTTTCCAGAAGTTTACTGGGCTACAGATTTCCTCTGCAATAGGAAAGATCTGGGATGCATTTTCTTCGAGGTAGCTAAAATCTCCTATTTAAATTTTAATCCTGCAATATGGGAACACTAGCACAATGTTCACCCTTCACCAAAAATGCTTCCAGCACATGGCAGAACACTGTAGTTAATCTGTTCATAATAATACCAGATGGGCTGTTTTCAAGTTATTAGAGTAGAATAGTTCAGATAATGCTGGATTTAAGTCAATAGCTTGGACTCTGAAGCAGTACGTAACATATTGCATTCTGCAGCCAGTTTGCTTGTTGGGAACACCTGACTTCTTACAAAGAAGTCTTCTTCTGGAAGATCTTTTACTCAGAAGTTCAAAAGGGGAACTGCTCTTGATATATTCTGAAACAAGAGTCTTTGAAACAGCCAAGATGGTAGCATTTGAAAACCACACTACATGCACTGAACTAACCATTTCTACATGTATTATGTGGAGACACAAGTATGAACATTTCATGCTGTTACTCAATAGTTGGTTTCTCCAGCATATGAAATCCCACAGAGTTTTTTTTGGGATTTTGTGCAATACAACAGATCCATTGACAGCTCAAGGCCTGAATTACCCCCACAGCCAATGACATGAAAATCTAATCTAATCTTATTTTACATAGTATGGGACAGAAATACTGTTTCAGTCAAATTTACTAACTAAATAAAAACTACTAAAACCACCTAGAGCCCCAATGTGGTGTCACTAGCACACTGTTAAAATGAAATATTTGTTGAAAGCTGACATGACACATTACTTGAAAAGCTTGAGACCTAACAAGATATCAATGGAAATGTTTGTAATTCACATTTGATTTCCTACATCACTTTTCAAAACAGAGAATATTAAATATAGAAGACTGTTATAGCACTGAACTGACTTAAACTGAACAGTCAAGGAAATTCTAAGTTAAGGACATCATTTTATATTTAAAATCACTGCAATGCAATCCAATGCCCTTTTGTTTAGAAAGATTATGTTAAAGTCCACAGAAAAACCTCAACTATGAAATTCCTTGCTTTTGAAGATTTAAGTCAGAGTTCACTTATAATAATTTTCAAGCGTGTAAAGGTGAAAGTGAGTATGTGTGAAAAGCACATTCAAAGCATTCCAGCCAGGCCAAGCAAAAAACAGAGGTGTTTTGATAAACTCACACACTTACATACACACGGTGTGAGGGTGAGGCACAAACAGCATCTGTGGTTTTACTTATTTTGTTTGGGTGAAAACAAGAAAGAAGAGCCCAACTACCTCTGAACACTGGGCCAGGCTCAAAATCAAACACTATTTCACTGGGGACAGAATGAAGGAGGGGACTGGGAGTCCGGGATTGGTATTTCCGAAGACAGCGCATCAGCTGGTTCAAAGGGGCTGTTAGAGAGAAAGAGACGGGCAGGCAGAGACAGAAAGACAGACACATAGAAGAAATGAAAGAAGTCATGGGAAATAACTAGGATGCTTTGACTCCTAATCATAGATTTCTTCTGTACTTTGAAGGAAAAAAAGTCAATTCCCAAGAACACTGTTTCAGGACTGGAAATAGCCAATTGCTTTCAGATGCCAAGCAGACGGTTTATGATCAAAAGTTAAAACCAACATGATCGCACAACATTTAAATGTTGGACAAAATGGGCAAAACTCTGGAGAGCCACACCTATCAACACATACAAAAAATAGCTTAAACTGGCAATTTGCAATTAGTAGCTTGCAGGGTTAAAGGAAATTTCTTTCTTTAAAGTGCCTATTGCTGGCATTATTAAAGACAGCTCCATCAAACACAACACATCCTACCAAACACCAGATTTGCATGGGAGGAACAAAGTGAGTGAAAGTCCAGAGTACAAAACCTTTGAGATCAGGAAACGGTTCATTATGGTAATTCAGACCCATACTTATGGCTGAAGCAAGTTATAATCAGTAGGAGACAATTGTGTTACTGATTTGGAGTTGGAAAAACTGTCATATGCCTGCCCTACTCAGTATTTCTGTATTTTCAATATTTCTGTTTTATTCTAATATTCATAGGAATAAATACAGCACATTAGAAGCCCCCTTCAGGACCTTGACAACCAGTGGGAGAAGTGACTTAAGAGGCCCGTGCACAACAGATGAAGAAAAATAAACCCCCTGGCCACTAGTCGTGACTTAACTTTGAATTAGGGCAGTGAGTTCCTGAAGGAAACATAAAAAGACCTGGCTTTAGTGTAAGATCCTAATAATCTGCTTCCAAGAGTAGCACAGGCATGCAGTACAGCAAAGCAGCAACTTCAGCAGGGGTAGAGGGGGAGAAGAACTGGAGTATTTCAAGCTGCTTTAGGATGCAGCAGTTCCTATGAAAGGCCCACGTACCACAATGGTTTTCATTGAAAACCCCTGTTGTTTCCATGTGTGAAAAGGTAACAACAGGCATAAAAATCTTTGGGAAGTTGTAGTGTATCTGTGTGCAGCCATGTGAGTGAAGTGTGTGTGTGTGTGTGTATGTGGGTGGGTGAGAGAAAGAGTAAAAAGAGTAAAAAAGTAATTTTAAAACTAAAAAAACTAGATACTAATTCAAAACTTTTTCTCCTTCTGTCTCCCCCACTCCCAGAATGACCAGCAAATGACTCAAATCTTCGTGAAACAAATACTAAGTTCATGGACAAGCAAATGTAAATTCACTTTTTTGTTCTAGTCATATTTTGCATTGTGGCTGTGTTTTGTAGAAGGAAGTGGGGTAATTGGAAGGGACAAAACAGTTATGCAATTAAAAGTAACACAGTAGTTGGTTTAAATGCTACTTACCTCCCTCTCCTCGTAAACTCTGGTCTCTAATCAAGTCCTATAAAAAATTTAAAAAAGCTGTATTTAATTTAGGTATTAACATTTACATTCTGGAATCAATTGAGACTGATAAGTTTGTGTATTCATAGTGTCATGTGTTGCCCATGAAATAAAAGTGGTTTCCTACCCTGACTTACTAATAACAATGATGCAAAGAACTACTACACTTCTCAAAATTAAGTTGCTTTAAAACAGCATCTCTCTGCAGTAAAGTGAAATGTACAACACTCAGAAGAGATGCTGACAAGAAAATATTGATTTAAAAACACAGCTGGTCAGTAGCAGAAATGGTTTGAATTATCATATCAGAACCTGGGACATCAATTTTCTGTACTGAGGTACATCAGTCAAATGAATCCTGCTTTGTTTTTTCTTGTAACAAAACACCTGATTTGCATAGCCAGGCACACTGTTCTTCTCAGAAATGACTAACTGCAGAAGGCTTTCTTCACTTGCAATCCTCTGTGAGCTGAAACTATCTTTTGCAACATGTCCAGACTAAAAGCAAACTACACTAAGGATTCTATAAACAGAAGGAGAAAATTCTAGCAGTTTGCTTCTGTATGTCCATTTTTATAATAAAACTTTTTTTACTACACGGTTATATTTATTCCTTTCTTGTTCCATAATTATATTTGTTCCCTTTTGCACCTGTGCTTTGTCAAAAGCACTGGCTATGCCTCAGCTGCACCACTGCCATATACCACATGCAAATACCTACACAGCCACTCTTAAAATTAACATTTCACCTTTCCCTCAGCTCACATGCAAAACTGATTTTGTGCCTCAGTGTCCAGGCAGATTTCAAGACTGCTCACCCAACAAATGACTATTTTCTAGAGAGCAGACTTAAGGATAAAATACCAACTGTGTATGTTAGCAAAGTTAGCAAAAGGCAACATCTTGAAAGGTCCTAAGCGTCCTTATGCTAATACCAACCATTATTATTAGCTACATTTCACCATCCAGAGATTGCAAAATTGTGGAAAAATCTTAATGTAGCAGTTTCTGAACACTCCAAAGGGATGCTCAGAATGACATAAACTGGGCTCTTGAACTCATAAACAACTATCAGAATACGTGAACTATCAGAATACGTGAACTCAGCTTAATTATTTAGTTTCCTTCAATTCCAAAATTATTACTTGGAATACAAATACTAAAAAGTCTCAAATCTTGCAAAACAATGTGTTTAACACAGAATGGTTTGCAAGAGTGGTTACCGGCTACAGCATAAGTCTTGGGACTAATGGCAGAAAAGAAAGAGGCAGTTGTTTAGGGCAGAATATTTCTTTGAAAATGAAAAGGACAGAACTGTCAAAAGGCAGTTCTGCTTTCAGAGAACGGATTGTGTTCTTACAGCTCTCAACAGCAAAAACTCTATTAAAAAAAGGAAAAATAAATGATCTTTGAGTATTCTGGTAGATCACTGAGGATTATGTTAGAACCATAGTGCACATTGTGTACACAATGAATTCAGCACACTGATATTCACAAGGAACACATCCCATCTACTATTCCTGATCCAAGGGTGAGCAGTACTCACATCAATATTGACTGGCTCGATTGTGTTGATGTGGACGTTGGGAGCTGAGGAGGATCGGTCGCGTTGCCCAAATTGATTCCGATGGTCTTCATCTGCTGGTCGGAGGGGCTGTGGGATTGGAATGGATTTTGAAGGAGAAGGACTAGGGAGAATTGGTGGTCTGAGAAACAAAGTCAAGGAAAAAGAGGATTTAGGTCTACAAATGGCTTCAAACACTGCATAGTGGGTGTGGTAAGTCCTTTTCAACTATAATAATACATAACAAAAAATCTGATCTAAAGCCCTGAATAAAAACAATTCATAATGAATGGTCTCTACTCCCCTATGATCAATTGCAACAACTCTCTGTTATATCAACTACCTGATCACATGGCTGTGAAGTGTTCTGACTTAAAACAAAGAAAACTCTACCATACAATGCCAAACTAGTAATAATAAATCCTGGTCTGAAAAACTCATGCTGCCCAACATGCATTGCAGATAGCAAGATACTCTGCAGTTTCCTCATCTCTGAGTCAATGCAATATACTCATTTTAATGGTAACCAATTGAGAACTAAAAATGCTTAACATCTCATATTAATGTTACAGTCAGAAAATGTCATAAAACAAAATCTATGGATTTTTCAACAAAGAAAGAGTGAAAATTACATCTGGTCATTCAACCTAATTGATTAATAATTATGTATTATTGATACTAAAAACAACATGGCCAATGTATCATTGATACTAAAAATAAACATATCGCCCTTTAACCTCAACCTTTAAGAAACAACTTTGAATAGCACAATATTTCAAATGTTATTTACAGTGCTAAAATGCAGTAGGTATTGACTGAAAAGGTAAGTCTTCAGAATACACAAACAGGCTTCCTGAAGAAATGCAAACGCTGCCAGTCATAAATATGTAGATATAGCCTATAATTATGGTATAAAAAATTGAATATTCAAAAGACAAAACAACTAAATACTTGGGTTTTTTGTTTGTAAAAAGACAAAGTCACTTCTTCGGTTATCCATCAATTTTGTTAAAGTGCAATAAACTGGCAATTATCTCTTACCCTAGTCAAGGTCAGTCACTCTTAAGTCTAATGATTCAATCTAATGGATGTAAGGCAAAAGGCTAATGAAAACATTTGCCACCTTTGTCAAAGAAAACTTTATGGTAAAATATACATGCTATCTGACAACAAGGTTTTTAAAAGTTGGTTTCTTTTTCTAAGTTCTAAAAGAGGAGTGGAGTCCTCCAGCCATTCAATGAGTCATGGATTAATTATCAAGCCCACAAAGACAAGGTCCACAGGGAGAAGCTTCAGAAACAAAACTGACAGCAGCATATAGCAGCAATAGGTTCTGATGCCACCTCCTGTAAGCAATGCTCCTTGGCCTCTTCAAAAACCTTTAAAATTTTCAACAGGACATCTTGGCATTTTTTCAGAAACAGGTCTATTTTATAGCCTACTATCCTACTTTTCATTGAAAAGTTTATCCAGTTTGGCATTGATCCCAGAAATCAGTGCTATCAGTATCCTAAGTACCTGGCATCTTGTCCTTCCTGGCCAACAATCTCACAACCGAAAATGGCAAAACAAAGTACTTGTGAATTAATTCAGGCAACAGTCTAATAAGTCTTTCAATGAAATACCTGAATACATTTGGGAAGAAGAGGAAGGGGGTTTAACCCTGCTTAACTTGAAAAAAAAGAACAGTTACCTACTGTCACATGACAGAATATAGATATTGGGAAGATACTGGGAAGCAATGAACTAAAACTAGCAATAGTCAAATCTCTGAGAAAGGGTCTTGAAAAACCCAGCATATTTCAGTAGTTGTTTATAATTTCAGAACTATTTTTTAAAATGCAGTTGTTGTACATACACATAAACTGAAATTTTCATTCATTGGTACACAAGTACCTTCAGGTAAAATATTGCAGATGAGGAAGTTTTGAGCTCCTGAATGTGTTTGTAAGTAAATCATGTGACTAGAACACACATCAGGAGATGGGACACTGCACAGATCCTAATGCAGGACTTGACTGACATTTAAAGGCACTGCACTTTCATCTTAAGGCAAGCGTGTCAAATGCTGCACAAAAACAGTATCAGCAGAAAAGTCTGATAAGTGTCTAAACCAGGCCAGTACTGTCATTGCTGGGATAGCTAACTCCTGCTCAAACTTCCTGAGAGTTCTCAGGTAATAAGGAAATTAAGGGAAATATATCACAACATCCATCAGAACATTGCACCAGGACTGACTGTGACAAACCATTTGAGCTCTGCCACATGACAAAACCAGAAGCAATCAGATACTCTGTGATCATGAGTAAGACAAGGGAGTGAAAACCAGATTGAGGCAATATTGTTTCAATTACATCCTCCTTTGAGTCATAAATGGTCATCTGCTACTTCTGTATTTCTGGTCACAGGTCATCAAGTCCATCATGTTGCTAACACAGCATGCTACGTCATACCATGTTTGAAAACAACTTGAACAGCTTTTTCTACTCATTAAATTCTTACTGGGGGAAGTCCAGATCTTTAGAAAATAGACTGATAAAGAATTTTCTTTTTTTCTTCAGCCTCTAAGCTATTACTTGGAGGATCTCTGGGCTTTAGACAATAAAGAATCCAGAGATGGAAACCTCATAAGCAGTTAGCCACGTGCTCCATCATGATTTTATTAATGGGTGTCCTTGAGACACTTTGAAAAACATAGGTTATTTATGCTAAATGGATTTTTTTCTTGAAAAAGATAAATAGTGAAATAAAAGAGACAAAGGGTTTGCTAGCTAAGACAGCCTACTGAGATCACAAGCTCAGAATATTATTACCACCACCTTCTGCCTGTGGCAAAAGCTGGATCTTGGTCTGCATCAAGATCTTGTTCTATCAAAATCACATCACCACAAAGAACACAGTGATCCTCTGAGCTACCAAAGGCTGTTCCTAAAGTATTCCTACACTGAAATTACTCCAGAGGAGTAGAAGTGACACTGGAGCTAAAAGGGCCAGATACCATTTGGAAAAGGGTGACATGGTCTATTCCAGGCCAGTTCCAAAACTAGTTGTTAGGCTATGGAAGCATAGTGCTGACAAAACACACTAAAAAAAAAAAAAAAAGGCCCCAAACAAACCAAGCACAGAAAAAAATTTAAACAAACAAAAAACCAACCCCCACCCCCAAAAAAATAACAGGCTGAGGCTTAAAAGGAACATGCAATTTGAATATCAGGATCTGGGTTTCTGTTGCTCCTGTGGCCTTGGTGAACAGTTTACAGCCACCTTGCTAAAGGAGGCTTTCTCCAAGTAAGCAGATAAATCACTTTCTCCCAGCCTCCAAGATGTGGGCATTTTTTTAACAAATGATTCTCAGCTTCTGAGGCAACAAGCTGATGTTGTCAAATCTCAATCTAATATGTTATAACCTTTCCAGGCAGTGGAAAAGCATGACAGAACATGTTTTTGAACCATATGTTTGGGATTGACACATTGTTCCCTCCCTTTTTATAAGGCAAAATAGAAAGATGTTTTATCAGGAAACAAGAATAACTTATACCCTTTACCAAGCATAGCAAGTGCCCAGATTTACTATTCCACAAAACTGAGTCCACAAAAAAGAGTAAGGTAACTCAGAAAAGTGTCTGCACGTGTTATGCTATATATAAACAAAATATTTTATAAAATCATATACAGTATGTCTATTGGATTTTAGAACTTGCAATGATACAAATAAGTTCACTTTACAAATGCAAAAGAAAATTTTAATACAGATTTTCCTTAATGTCCTTTACTCACCAATGTCATGTTTCGTAACTGTTTAAGAGCTGGTCTAGGCAGGAAAGATTTTTCTTGAAATTTTTCTTATGATAGGTGTATTTGGGCTTCAAGTTTTTGTGGACTGTATTTTTATTTTGCTGTACTTGAGCAAACGCTTGAACTGAAAATTCACATTCACCTAGCTTCAATTATATGGTGTGCACCCATTCCTTTTTAAAATGACAGCATCTCTCCTGGACTGATATTTTCTTTCTCCTCCTCACACCCTGAACAAGTCCATCTCAGTTTAGCCACTGGGCACAGTGCTGCACACACTACTTATCTGTAAGGCTGCACACATACATCCAAACCAAACCTACTGCAAGCTAAAATGTGTATCAAGGCTTGTTTTGGATTGTTTTTATTTACACCAGAGTATTAACACCAGACTGGATTTGGTTGTTGTTACTGCCCTTAATGAAGAACACAGTGCACTTCCAGTTCCAAGCAGTTTCTTAGGACTGCTAAGGATCTGGGACAATGTGGTATTTCAGCTACAGTAGCAAGCAGGTAAATTGAAATTGTGGAGGCCAAACAGGTTCTGATTTAATTACTGTGGTACTCCATAGACATTGCCAGAAAACCTAAATTTTTTATTTCTTTCCCCATCCCTGCAGCCTGGAAATACTCAATAATCCCAAATCAAATGCCAGTTTGGAGAAAAGGACAGCAGTACCACTTTGTAACTACAAGCCAAATATCTTTCTTGCAGCACCCTCTGAAGTCAGTCTAGAAGCATCATGGGACAGATCTGAGAGTCATTACCCCATACAAATTAGTGCAGTTTTTTATACCATGACAACTTGTTTTCATCCATGTTGGCTTCTAGGTGAAAAACAACTGCCAGGAGTATCACAATGGTGTGCACTCATTTATAATGGCCTTTGAGCCCAGATCAAAGCTGATGAGCCTAAAATACCCCACAGCTTCATATACCAGGGGTTATCAAGAGAACCACATTGTCACTGTTAGTCCTCCAAACCAGGTCCAGTTCACTAGCAGGGTTTTGCAAATAAAGTTTTGGAGAGCAAGAGGTTTCCCTCACCTGTTGTATGGACTGAGAGTTTTCTGATTCTGATGAAAAGATTCTGATACCAAACCTTTTCTGCAAAGCAAGAATGCATATCAACTCAACTTGTATATTGTAGGAACACTGGGAACATTTTCATGGAGTAACCTGGAAAAGGCCTGGTGCCAGAACTTTTAGAGGAAAAGTTCACTGTTTTATGAATTAAAACATGAAGCTTTTGCTCACTTATACACCACAGGATCTAAATGGCATTGTAGCATAAAATGTAATATTTTAAGACTGTATCTTCACTTCCTTGGCTTTTCAGAAGCTTTTCTAGACATTCAAGTATCTTCAGCTGAAGCAGAATGATCAGTGAACAGTTGGAAGGCAGAAAGGAAAGCAGAGGTGTTTAATCACAAGCTGGAGCCTGCTCAAAGGCAAGGACTGGCAAGCTTCCAAGAACAGTGCACCAGACATTCCCCTTTTCTTCCTTCAACTTAGAAGACGAAGCATATTGGGAAATGCTGTTTTTCAAAGAGCCAAGATGTTGCCAACTTGCTTATTTCTCTTTTTCATGTATCTGAGACTGAGGGAACTGGGTTCACAGAAATTCTGTGCTCATATTCTACAAGCCAAGATGGAAAAGAAACTTCATGACAGTGCAATGAACGAAACAAATACAATGCCTGATATACAGTTTCCTTACTTCAATTTTATTACAAATGGCTCTTACCAGGGAAACCTACACTTTTCTTTCCATTCAACTGCAGATTATAACTAAAATAGTTGTTCTGGCACAACAGGATAGTGCAAATGGAAAAAACGAAAATGGGACACAAAACCTAATGTTGAGGCTGGACACAATTTTATAAGGGGTTCAAAAATGTGAAATGGGACCATATGTGCTCCCACACCTTGGGGTAGAAAACCTGGAGGCACTGCCTATGGCTCACAGTTGGAAGAATGAAAGGCTACAGGCCTGGATTGCTTTAGGATGTTGCACACCAGCAAAGTGAAGCAGTTCTCCAACATGTTTAGCAGCTTTTGCATCATGTCCAAGGATCTTCCTTTATGTCCCTTGCTCTTCCAAACTTTTCCATTTGCTCCCATTGCACACTTTCACTCTCCAACTTGTCTTGCAACACAAACTTCCTTCTTTTGGGCACTTGGCCTACTGCTGGGATCCCGTCACAAGGCTAGAGATGAAGGATGTTTGCCTTCTCTTTCCTCAGGTTTACCAAACAATTATTAACATTCCTTCTTCCTCTGTCAGCTGTTCCATGCAAGATGCTAGAAAAGAGAAAGCAAAAGAACAATTATTAATCTAGGAAGTGTTAATAAAGCACTACTTCCTCATATTTTCCATCCCATTATTCAGCTCTCAAATTTCAATCCTGTATTTTCCTCCCAAGATAAGCTCAAATGTCAGCCTTTTTTTAAAATTCCAGTTGAGCTGCTGTCCATATTGTAACAGTCCTCTTTAATAAAACCACAGGTGAGTACAGGTTTTTATAGAAAAGGCCAGCTTTTTAAATTCAGCTAGATTAATATTTCCACAATTATGTTCTTAAAAAGCAGAAATGTATGATTAAAGAATGGCATGAAAGATAACTGGAAAAAGGTATGGACAGTGCTATATGCTCATCCAGTAACACCTGAGCTACTTCTGGAAAGGAAATCCTACATACATGGATGCTAGGGGAACACTGTATGACTAACATGCATATTACATATGAACACCAGTTGATAATCATCAACCATTTCCAAAATGAACAGAATTTTGCAGGCACGATGTATGCCTTTGTTTTGTTTATCAATAAAGTGGACAACAAAGCAAAAAAGCAGAAAGGATCTGCTTTACATCTTCTGCAATTACATACATTTATAGATGCAACACTTGAGAAAAGCTCCTAAACAGCAACTAGCAAGGGTATTTAAATGTTAACATTTTTATGTATGTGAAGTTAAAGATCTCAAGGCATTAACCAGCTTTGGTCTAAATTTTTTTCCTTCTGTTTTCACTTGTCAAAACTAAGACTGCCTGAAGTAGTGCATGTATCAGGATAATCCATACTGCTGTGATCTCACAAGCTGGTAAGAATGGACCAATGTGATGCAAAGGCAATTGAAAAGTAGGACAATTTAGAATATTAAGAGTAGGGCTATATAGTGTTTTTGACATCCACTAGTGTTTAACCAACTGGTACGAACAAGTTTCTTCATGAATTAATAGTTCTAGCCCAGTTACAATTTTGGCTGTAGCACAACAAATACTTGACAAGCAGCCTTTCCCACAATCTGCTCTACTAATATCCACAGGATCTAAAGGCAACATGCACTACCTTGAAGAAGTACTTTTGAATTCACTCAAATCTGCACAAAATAGAAGAAGTAGGAACAATCTCTGTACTTACCAAGTGAGGTTCCCTCTGCAGGACTGTCAATCTGTTTTCCTGGGAGGCATTTTATTTGGTCTTCTATAAAACACTCTTGGCTGCCCAAAAAATTTATCTTCTAGTTAAAGAGTCCAGAGGTGCCTGCGTAGCTTCCAGTGTGTTTCTGCTTTATTTAGGCACAATTTTCACTAATCCAAGAGATCCTCTCTGCCACGTTCAGCTCATCTCCACACAGCACACATGTCCTGGGAATGGTTTTCTGAAGGCTTCTGTATTTGGTGTTCTTAATAAACATGCACCAGATTTCTTGAGCGTGATATACATCCTTGAGTTACTCTTGCCTGGACATTTGTTCAACTACCTAATGATGGATGGTGTCATTGATCTCTTTGCTACTGGGAACATAATTTAAATATGGTCTCTTATCTCTTCATGGAGAAAGGGTCCAGAACCTTTGTTGGAAATTGTTTTAGAGATCTACTTTTGCAAAACCTGGAGCTGCAGCAACAGATGCTATTGGTATACCTCAACATGAACATGGAGAAGACAGCTGGTCTGGAGGATACTAAAGCAGTGTATGTGGAAAAGCTACTAAAACAGTATTATGAACCTGGAACTGGCACCTGTTCACATCAGCCTTATAGTAATGTGGTTTATTCTCAAAGTGACATTTGTCACTTCAAAGCATATAAATTATAATTTAATAAGCAACTAAAAAAGTTTGTGAGGATATAATTTTGGTTTATATTAATTTTAAGTATAAAATCTTTCCAGTTTAGACCAGGTCTAAGCTATTATGTAGAAGAAATCATTTTAACAGTTAATACCCCAATTCTACAGACAGTTACACACACATTTAACCTAGGCTCATTATTCATTTACAGAATTTGTGTGAATGAAAACATTCACTTCTTTTAAGTAAAGCATAGTAGGATATATTTGCATGAGAAGCCAGATTACAACAATGCAGAGCTGCAAAGCAGTACGTTGAGTTTTTCTTAGAACAGTTCTGAAAAGTTATGTTATTAAACAGCAGGAATAAGTTCATACCCAACAGAATCTGAGGGGGGCACTGAGGGGTATGATCCAGATGCTGGGGTGGTCTCTCCTAGGGAGGCCTCCTCCGGTGGTATGGGGTGATGTTCAAAGAACTTGGAGACAAACAGCAAACTGTGAGGCAAGAACAAAACAAAAACAACCTAACTTGTGAAAAACCCAGAAGTTTCACAATATAATACTCAAAAACTACAAAAAAGATCCCAAACCCCAAAACCTCATTGATTAAATTCTAAATTTAAAAATAAAGATCACACACATTAAATCTGCAAGGTATGTTAAAAGTATTATTTACTCCACAGAGGATCAAAAGATCATGCCTTAAATATAAACTTAGTGGAAATTAATTTTTTAATCTTTTAGATGGAATTGTAAACATCTGGTTCTTCAAGAATGCACAACTTATATCTATCAGTACATAAACTAACACCCTGAGCACAAACTCCAGAGATGCCAATGGAAACAGTTACAAATACCAAAATAAACTAAAATTAAATTCATTCTTGGTGAGAAAAATAGCATTTTAAATTATTCCTTATACAAAAATCAATTTAAAGGACTTAATAGCCTTTGCTGAAACTAATCAAAATAGAACAGACCCAGTTTACACCAGATCCTAAATCTACATCAAAGACCTATTTGAACAAATAGTTCAGTAACTCAATCCAAGAACATTGGACTGTTTGGGTCATTCTCTTTTATGTTTCTTACCTAGGTACTATTCTTGCTAGCAGATTTATTTTCAATTATTGCAAAACCAACCGCAATTTCACTATAATCAACTACTGTCTCTTAACATTTTTTCAGGTTGAAGAGAATAAAGCCACAGCTAAATTTTAAACACGGCCCTAGCCATCACACAATAAAGAACCAGTTTTGATTAATAATAACAACTGTGAACAATGAGTGGTCTGTCTGATACAGTCAAGTGCCCAGCAACCCTATTCATGCCTCAGAAAAAGCACTTCATAGACCAGCAAAGAAATATGAACTGGTTGTCTGAGCTAGCACAGAAAGAGTATGAATTAAGCAGTCTCATAAGAACAGTTGTACTCCTATTTTTTTTTCAGGCACCTCCTCTGACTTCCTGAATTACAGACTTAACATAAGAAATCACTGACAGCTGTGCACTTGTTAAAAGGCTCAACTTGAAAATCAAGTGTGATTACTTACTCAAGTTGGTCATAATTAACACACATCAGTGGCACTTCTGTACTACAGCGCTGGTGGAATTTGTAGCCACAAGTCTGGCAGCGGAACCCCTGGAAAAGCAGCTTCCGACAGAAATCGCAGAACGCTAACGTGAAGAACGTTTTTCGTACCTACGTTGGCAAAAACAGGCACAATTACCTAGAGCCCTTCTGTAAGCCCAAGATAGGCTATTTGCTTTTACCTCCCCCAAGTGTACTTAAAAGTCTCTTTTGTGATGCTGGAGCTACAGTTTTATATATCAAACAGATTTACAGAAAAGATTGTCTCCTTTTTGAAACAGTTTGGTTTTTGAAACAACATTCCTTCAACTGTTTCTTGGAATTAATGCTTCACTGCACTTAAGAACAAGAGCAAAAAACCTGAAGCAAAACTTCACTATTATCATGTTAGCCACAAACATTGAGAATTTATTTGGATACAACCTATAAAACCAAAAGCTGCTGAAATACTATTTCATATTCTAACTTTTCCAGAAGCCAAAGAACATTTCTATCTAATACTAACAGGACTGGAAATACACAGGCATATATATGTATATATACATATACACATATACATACACACACACATATATATATTATATATATATACACAGGGCTTCAATGTATGGTTACAGATATAGTTGTAATTTTGACTACTGAAACTCAGAAACATTCAGAATCACAAAAGGGAGATTGTGCATTCTCCCCAGATTGTTATAGGGGGAAAATGATTTAGCTAATTTTCAAATTCAGCAATAACTAGTGTAAAAACACATTCTTAGTTCTATTATTACATGTAATGATCAGAATTTCAGTGGGATATAAAAAATGTAAGCCTACTACTAGGGTTCACCTAACTAGCCATAACCCAAACAGCCTGTTTGAGCTAAATAGGTTGAAACAGCTTGCAGATAGAATTTTGCTATGTTTTAAGCTGAAATAGAAGGTCTTTCTTTCCCAGTGTGACAGACATTATTTCCAGGATTTTGTATGTAGTTGGAAACATTTAGACAGATTCTGTTTAGCAGCTTCCATTTACTTGGTGCCTTATCAGGTCAAAACATATTTGTGCACTGCATCATTGATGATGTCAGCACTGCTCTGGGAATAGTTAGTTCATTAGTTAATTGCTGCTGCAGAGCCAGCAGGGAGGCCCAGAATACATTTTATAGATACAGCAATACAAAAATAGTAGATTATTACAGCTCTGCAATGCAGTACTGATATAAACCCCTTACATTTATAGATTTTAGAGGGTGTATTCCAACAAAACGTGAAAGTTTTAAGGGTGATCAAGTACTCTAGCATCACTTATTTCAAATACAATTCTATCGAAATCACTTAAGCTACTGTGATTAAAAACTTCTTTTGCAACTCCCACCACATCCCACAGATGCAAAATATTCCAAGTTGATAATTTGAATTTGAAAGTATGAAGTTGATGTAACCCCACTCAGCATCTCACAAGACCCAGTACATACGAAATTGTGTGTCGTGAGTGGCACATTCTCCAAAACTTCCACATGCAACTCCTCTCCCGTGAGCCAGGAAATATCTGTGTCCCAGCCAATTGGCTTCTTCTCTCTAAAGTGAAAATAAGCCTCTCATTAGCATCAGCACACAAGCCCTTGCATGTCTCTTGCCAAAGTTGTGAGATCAGCTAAAAAGTTACACTGTGGGAGGCTGCTACCCAGTCTAATTGCAGGAAACTTGAGAACAAGACCTTAGGCTCAGTACATAGCAAACAAAGCACACCTTCCCTGGACAAACTGCAGGAAGGAAATGCACTTTTTCAACCAGCTCCAGTAGTGACCAATTCCTTGTTTCCCACATGGCAGATTGCTTTTTGATCAAATAAAGTGTTTGTCAAGGTACCTGTTGTGTAAGAGTTCCACAGAGATAGCTAATTATGCACATGAATATACAAATTTTTAGGGCTGAAAATTCTTTTTTTTCCTCCCAAGGGAACTCCGTCTTTAGTTAAGAATGTATTATAGCCAAATGAAATAAAACCACAAAGTTAACACAGCCTATTTAATACTTGTTTGGTTAGCATGAGTTGGATTAAATGAGTGTTTTGCCAAAATTTCATATTACTGAATATCATGCCTGAGCCTTTTCCTAGGAGTTACACATTCTTTTCAACATGTTTGTGACGTGCAAATTGTTTAGTGCAAAGTATCATAAAATTCTGAACTTTGTAAACAACTTCTGGATAGAACTGGCCGTCCTGGGTAGCTCCAATAATTGATTCTAAGAGCAAAAAAAGCATCCCACACAAACCATACCCATCTTGTATTCTGTAAACAGCACAGCATTCTGGAATAAGACCTCTCATCATCAGAGCTTTTTTTAGGCTGTCTCGGACTGTCACTCCACATCTTGCTGGAACCTAGAGGTCAAATACAAAAGAAATTAGTTAAAATAACTTCCAATTTATCCTCCAAAACTGATGCAAACATTTGACCCTCAAGTGCTAACCCCACTCTTCAGGATGCTTTACAGAATTGTAGGTCAGAGTTTTCCAAAACGTTTTTTGTATCAAGAAAAATTTAATTCCTGATTAGTATATGAGGAAAAAGGCTCAGCTAGAGGAGCCAACAAGCTCTACACATCTATTAACATTTGGAACAGAATCTTCACTCAACTCCAAAAGTGAATTTCCAACTTTCTCAACTAGAAGAAATTGGAAGCACAGCACACAGATAGCTAATAAATACATACAGCTTTAATTTTACAGGCTGGCCTGAACATAAGTGGGGAAACATGCCAAGTGAAATTAAGTGAAGGAACTAACTTGGACTGCACTCAAAAAAACATTACGATAAAATGTAAATATTTTATTTTCTATTTCTAAAACAGAAGATAAGCATGCAAACAAGTGAAACAAAACAGTCATCTGAGTCAGGCAGACCATCACCTCTCACTTTAACCTATATTTGTAACTCTATAGATATATCTTACATGAATATATATTGCTCTTTTCTGTTTTCTGGCTTGAAAAGTTTAGATAACTAACAGGATGGGAAGAATGGAGGTGCATATTAAAACTAGCCAAATCAAGAACTCCATACTATGTAAAGGTATATTCCTCACTTCTAATTGTAGGCATATCTTATACAAGTAAGTAGATCATCTCTAGGTACACCTGTGATTTAACAGTGTATACTGTCAAGCCATAAAAAAGAAGAATACATGATCTGGTGATTAAGTGTAGTTAAGGTATTGAATATTATGCACTAACTATTTTTAGAACTCAGTAGTGAAAATATGTAAGTCAGGCATTGTACACACTGGGATATCACCTATAATCAAAGGCAGTACCTTGGACACAAATCAGAAAACCTACAAACTTAACAAACCTGACAAGTCTGTCTGAACACCTGAAACTCAAATCTAGCTTGCAAGTGGCTTAAGCCAGAGCACTCAGTAGCCAAAAGCAGTCTTTTAATCAGCTTCAACTGGCTTTGGATGGGAGCCTAGTTTTTGTTCCCTGTGTTTAAATTTCCATGGGTATTTAGGGGCTCTATGTCCTACTTAAGCATGACAGTGCAAAGTAGCAGCCTGTTTCAAGTAGCTGTGTGAACACCATTTGAGGTTACACTATATACTGCATTTCTAGAACTCAAACATATGCACTTTCAGAAGACACAAATAAAGAGAATATTTTGCTTCACCATCATTTTCCCATTAACAAGAGAGGGTCTCTTTACAGGATATTTATGCATTTCATCTGGTCAACACAAACATTTTAAAAAAGATTATTTTTCTGAATTCCTTGAAAAAAACACCCTATAGCACACTACTTAACAATCTTGATATTCAGCCTTAGGTGACTTTGGTTTACACATTATATTCTTTTTTAATACATCTTTTTATTACTCCAAGTAACTCCTTAGAAAGGAACTCCTCTCCTTTCTCCAAGGATGGAGAGTATGACTCATATTCTTTTATACAAATGTTGAGTCTAAATTATGATTGTTGTATTGATACAGCAAAGCATCTATTAAAGATTTGTCTTGACCTGCAAAGGTGATTAGAAATTATAAGTGAAGTTGTATTATAAATTCTGTATTATGTTACTTATAAATTGCACAACATTGATTCTGCTTGTAGAACTCATGTGCCATTCTAATAATAAATTCTGTGCTATGCTAACCAAAATGTCTTGTTAAGAAAATAACTCTTTAATTGTCCCTATGATTTAGTGCCATCATCATACTGCCAAAGACCCCTAAAAGAACCTGTCTGTCCCCTCAGTGTCCTGTTCTATGCCTCCAACATATATATTTACAAATAGTGAGTAAATATTTTTAGGAATCTGACTGAAGTCTCTGAGGATTTCAGGTGTGCTCCAACCTCCCCCCAGACATTAGATGTGATCATTTTGATGGAGGAAGCAACTGTTCTTTGGCTCAAGGCTATTTCCCCTCTAAGCTCCTGCTGGATTGAGGTTGAGTCCCCACAGACAATTCAGGTTTACCTTTCCAGCAACCTCAGTCACTCCACCACTGATATCCACAGTGGCAGAAGAAACTGAAATACTGCAAAGGTGGCAGGCAGATGATGGGGACAAAAAGGGGAATGAAAAGAGCCAGGAAAGAGGCTGGGCATGAAGGAGAAATGGGAGGAGAGGGTCAGGACAAACTTCAAGAACTGAACATGCAGGGAAAGCATGTGTATGCTGGGAGAGGGAATTGTGATCAGCAGGTTGGTGGGAATCAAACAAGCAAGAGAGAGAGAGGACAGACTGAAGAGCTGAGGCTGAGGGCAGGAAAAAATGACATGATGAACCACCTTGCAGGGAGAACTGTCTGCCAACACCTGGGGAAGTACTGGAAGTACATCCTGAACAGGAAGCTTTCAAGCTGTGATTGGGAGATAAGGTGGCTTCTTTTGGACAAGGACCATCGGGGGAAGGAGGTGCCTAGGAGCAGCAACAGAACCTAGCACAAAGTAGGAATAGGTTCTAGCTTAGGCAGAAAACTCCAACAGAGTTAAGTATTAAAAGAAACCAGGTTAGTAAAATCTTGACCTGTGTGAGGGAGTGGAACAGGATAAGGAGGAAAAGTCAAGCAGTAGGTAGATTACTAACATTAAAGAAGAGATAAGCAGTCTTGCAGTCAGTGGAAAACATTTTCTTCCTCCAGCACTGATCCTCCATAAATGATGACAACATCCTCCAGTAACTCATGAAGCAAAGAAATGCATTAGGAACCTCAAAGTTCCAATGCTTTTAATTAATTACACTAGTGTAATTATTTTCCTTTTAATTTTGTCAACAACAAGATTTATGAAGTTACAGGGTTTCTTTTAAGAGATCAATAAAGTTGGAAATACAAACTCTCAAAATTTGGGAAGTATTAGAATGAAGGTTACTTACAGCAACAAAAGTGCAATAGGACTATGAAAAATGTGCATTAACCATCCTGCTCACTAATCATTTGCTATTCCTCAGTATTATTATCCCAAGTCCCCTTCATTAAAATCCAAGCCATATTTATGCAACTTGCAATTAGAAACATGGGTAGAACATTTGTTCTCTTCACTGCCATTTGCATCACGATCCAGCTAAAACCCAAAGAACTGCTTTTATTACTCTCAAAAACCATCATGATCCTGAATCAGCATCACATTTAGAACATTCTCTTACAGAACTCCCGAGCAGAGAAACATAAGGCCAAATTAAAAGAACTTAATGGTAGAATAAGTCCCTGTAGTATTGATTAATCATTTTCCCAGACTGGTACAGCACGGTCTATCACCATCTGTGCATGTAGCCCTTCAGCCCCCTCCTTCAGTCCCTACTAGCACCTGCTGTAAAGCAGAAATCTCACCCTGCAAAGCATTCCCTCTGAAACCTCTTTTTGCCCTCAGCTTCTTTTCACCCCCAAATTAAGGCAAAGTTAAAGAAAAAGCTGGTTCCAACAAAGTGATTTGGAGACCAACTCAGTCCTTAGAAAAACAAAACCCAACACCAGTTCTTTTATCCTGACTAACAGACTCCTGCTGACTCCAAAGCAGGAGTTTTGGAACAGCTTCTTTCTCACCCCCAGGCAGAGGGAGGGTGTGTGGCCCCCCAGGCTGGGAGGGGAGCAGGGGCAGGAGCCCTGCATGGTGCAGCCCCCGAGTGCCTGCCAGGAGCCAGCAGCTCCAGCTCGGCAGGAAGGCACCAAGGAGGGTTTATCAATTCCATCTAGAGTTCTGCCAGGATTCCCACAGAGCACTTTAACTGAATCACATCAGCATTTTTTAACAAAATCAGTTCCCCAGGAGAAAATTTCTCATCTACTCCAAAATACACAGCACTCCAATGCCTGCAACCCAATACACTGAACAAAGCTGGCATTTTATTGAAACATAGAACATTTAATATTATTTAAAATCCATTTTGTTTGCACTGATCCATTATCTCTTGATCCCTCTCTTTTATAACTAAGGGAATCCAAGTGTTTCACAATGGCTACCACCTAGAAACTCATGTTACTAAGCTACGGGATGTACTCCAAAATTGTGATTGTTAAGGGCTTTCTTTTCAGGTTACTTATATACGTAAGATTTGTAGATCAGAAGAGGCTTAGGTTTTTATAGCAATTAGTAAGTTGATTAAGCAAGCAACTTTCAAAAGTGAAGAGTATGAAAGTGTGGGCTATATAACACTAAGGAACAGTACAGAAGCCGCCAACACAGACTGCAAGGTGTGTTCAGTGTGTAGATTAATAATATACCAGAGAAGATAATTTACTTGAGCATCCTAAATTATGTAAGTAGCAATTCAGGGAAACACCAAAACACATGCTTCAGTTTGCAAATTTTAAGCCCCAAGGAAAAAAATGGAAAATTATTCCAGATTGCAGATATTCTCAAAGCAGTCTTACTATCTCGACAGATTAAACAGAACTGTAGCTCTTAATGCCCTCATTTCCTTTACTCACCTGAACTATTTCTAGGGACAGTAAGTATTTGTAACAACATTATTGATATATATATTTAGTACTGCAGCCACAAGTATTTAAGCAATGCATAATAAATCATTTATTTCTGTAAATCAGGTCATTCCCAATTCAGTAAGAAATTCAGGGCTATGTCCCTAAATAACTCTTACATCACTTTTCTAGCATCAGACTAGAAACTGGCATAGTCTCAGTAAGCTAAAAATGCTTCCTTACACCACTGTAGTTTCCAATGTTTTAGAGCAATAAAGACACTGAGAATCACTCCAAAAAAGCAATGCCAAGGTATTCTCTAAAAGTGGAAAGGCAGGTCAGCCCTGAATATCCAGTATTATACTTCTCAAAACTAGCTAGCTGGCTTTATTTTTCCCTCAGCCTAACAGTGTCATTCAGCTCACTCTGGCCAAGTGTAACACATGTACAGTATGTAAGGTATGTG